AGGCTGCAGTGAGCTGCAATTGCAACATTGTACTCCAGCCTGGGCAACACAGCTAAACCCTGTCTCTCTAATAAATAATAATAATAATAATAATAATAAATTCTAGCTTTATAATATGGACACCCACTCCGCACTCAGCCCCTCAAAGAGAAGCCAGTCCCGTAGAGATGGGGCCGACTGGTGAGGTCAGGACTGGCCCACAGAAGAGGGGAATTCAGAGGTAGAATGGGCGTTGCAGCAGGAGTCAGGAAGGTGGGAGAGGGTCGGTCTCAGCGGATTTGGTTGACAAGCACTGCACAGAGTGATTTAAGCTGTGATGAGCAAACTTCAGGCACAGAATACCCAACTGGAGAATGGGGCATCGGGAATCCTCAGTACAGCCAGGAATCAAAGCAAGACTAGCGGCCGGGCACAGTGGCTCACGCCTGTAATCCCAGGGCTTTGGGAGGCTGAGGCGGGCACATCGCTTGAAATAAGGAGTTCGAGACCAGCCTGACCCACATGGTGAAACCCCATCTCTACTAAAAATACAAAAATTAGCTGGGCGTGATGCACATGACTATAGTCCCAGCTACTCTGGAGGCTGAGGCAGGAGAATTGCTTGAGCCCAGGAGGTGGAGGTTGCGTGAGCCAAAGTTGTGCCACTGCACTCGTCTGGGTGACAGAACAAGACTCTGACACACACACACACACACACACACACACACACACACACACAGCAAGACTGGCCAGGAGAGCCTTCTGCAGAATCTATTCTCCCTTCTGTGGCTGTCTTGGGAAGCTGAGCATGGCTGGAAAAAATCCTCAAGGCTGCAACTGGGTCTCAAGGGCCATTTTATTGCTCAATGATGACACAAAAGTATTTAGCAATCCCTCGAATGACCCTGGTGCTTTCCATCTCTGAATTTCCTTTTTTTTTTTTTTTTTTAATTTGAAGATTTTGAAGATGGGGTCTCACTGTGTTGCTCAGGCTGGTCTCGACCACCTGGGCTCCTGCAATCCTCCCACTTCAGCCCTCCCCCAGTATCTGAGATTACAGGCACGCACCACTGCACTCCAGCATCTGATTCTCGTTGCTGTTGTTTTGAGACAGGGTTTCACTCTGTTGCCCCAGACTGGAATGCAGTGGTATGATCATAGCTCCCTGCAGCCTTGGATTCCTGGACTCAAATCATGATCCCACATCACCCTCCCAAAGTGCTGTGATTACAGGTGTGAGCCACTGTGCACGGCCCCATGGGCCATTATCTTAAAGGTTTAGCATATGCTAACAGATATCATCTCCTATCTAGGTTACAGGCATCTTCAGACTGCAGACCTCAGTCATGTCTGCCCTGCCTGCTGCTCACCCCACATCCTGTTGACTCTTTTACAAAATTTCTTAAGTCCGGTCCCTCCTCTCCCTTCCTTCCTTGGGTCCCTGTGTCTTCTGCTGCCTCACCCCATCCTTCGCCAGATTGCACTAGCCTCCCCTGCACACACACACACACACACACACCCCCTCACCCTACATTAAAATCTTTGTTTTTTAAAGCAAATGAGTTTTTAACTGAATAATTAAAAGAAAAAATTTTAATTTGTTTATTTTTGTTTTACTCTTATATGTATGTATGTATGTATGTATTTTTGAGATGGAGTCTCGCTCTGTCACCCAGGCTGGAGTGCAGTGGCGCAATCTTGGCTCACCACAACCTCTGCCTCCCAGGTTCAAGCGATTCTCCTGCCTCAGCCTCCCGAGTAGCTAGGATTACACGAAGGCGCCACCATGCCCGGCTAATTTTTGTATTTTTAGTAGAGATGGGGTTTCACCATGTTGGTCAGGCTGTTCTCGAACTCCTGACCTTGTAATCCACCCGCCTAAGACTCCCAAAGTGCTGGGATTACAGGCGTAAGCCACCATGCCTGGCCTTTTGTTTTATTTTCTTAGAGACACGGTCTTGCTCTGTTGCCCAGGAAGGAGTGCAGTGGCATGAACACAGCTCACTGCAGCCTCTAAATTCTGGTCTCAAGCGATCCTCCCACCTCAGCCTCCCAAAGTGCTGGGATTGCAGGCTTGAGACACCACGCCTGAACAGAAAATTTTTTTTCTTTTTTTTTTTTGAGACGGAGTCTCGCTCTGTAGCCCAGGCTGGAGTGCAGTGGCCGGATCTCAGCTCACTGCAAGCTCCGCCTCCCGGGTTCACGCCATTCTCCTGCCTCAGCCTCCCGAGTAGCTGGGACTACAGGCGCCCACCACCTCGCCCGGCTAGTTTTTTGTATTTTTTAGTAGAGACGGGGTTTCACCATGTTAGCCAGGATGGTCTCAATCTCCTGACCTTGTGATCCACCCGTTTCGGCCTCCCAAAGTGCTGGGATTACAGGCTTGAGCCACCGCGCCCAGCCCCCCAAAAATTTTCTTAATTAAAAAAACATAAAAGTGAAAACTCAGTCTCTCTCCCACTCAAACATCCCTGTTCCTCTCCCTAGTTTTTAAATATCTCCTAAAGGTATTCTCTGCATATAAAAGCCCATAGGGGGCTGGATACAGTAGCTCATACCTGAAATCCCAACACTTTGGGAGGCTGACGCGGGTAGATTACTTGAGCCCAGAAGTTCTAGACCATCCTGGGCAACGTGACAAAACCCCATCTCTACAAAAAATATAAAAATTAGCTGGGTGTGGTAGCACATACCTTTAGTACCAGCTACTAGGGAGGCTGAGGTAGGAGGATCACTTGAGCCCAGGGAGGTTGAAGCTGCACTGAGCTGTGATCACATCACTGTACTCCAGCCTGAGCAACAGAGTGTGACTGTGTCTCAAACAAACAAACAAACAAAAAAGCCGGATGCAGTGGCTCATGCCTGTAATCCCAGTACTTTGTAAGCCCAAGGCAGATGGATCGCTGAGGCCAGGAGTTCAAGACTAGCCTAGCCAACATGGCAAAACCCTGTCTCTACTACAAATACAAACAAAAATTAGCCGAGCGTGGTGGCGCAAGCCTGTAATCCCAGGTACTTGGGAGGCTGAAGCAAGAGAATTGCTTGAACCCAGGAGGTGGAGGTTGCAATGATCCAATATCATGCCACTGCAAAGCATCCTGGGGGACAAAGTGAGACTCTGTCTCAAAAAAAAAAACCAAAATGCATTTAAGTACAATTTGCTTTACAGATGGAAATACATTGCACATAAAACCTACAGTTGTGGCCAGGTGCGGTGGCTCATGCCTGTAATCTCAACACTTTGGGAGGCTGAGGCGGGCGGATCACCTGAGGTTGGGAGTTTGAGACCAGCCTGACCAACATGGAGAAACCCGTCTCTACTAAAAATACAAAATTAGCCGGGCATGGTAGCACATGCCTGTAATCCCAGCTACTCAGGAGGCTGAGGCAGGAGAATCGCTTGAACCCGGGGGGCAGAGGTTGCAGTGAGCCGAGATCGCGCCACTGCACTCCAGCCTGGGTGAGAGTGCCAGACTTCGTCAAAACAAACAAACAAACAAAAAACCTACAGTTGCCTAGAACTCAGCAAACACCTCTTGAATGGCAGCATGATGTATCATAGAGATCTAAGATGTTAGGTCTACCTTACCACCCTCTCAACAGCCCATCCTCCTCCAAGTGACTGCCAGGAATCAGATGATGCACCTCCCCCTGCTAAAAATTCATCAGTGGTTACAACAGAAACCACACTCCTCTCTCTGCACCACTCCCATGGCCCTGCATGACCTGCCGTGCACCATATTCACTTTCTGACCTCCACACCCCCGCTCCACTCTACTCCAGTGGTGCTCTCATCTCCTCGCTGCTCTTTGACCAAAATAAGCCCGTCCCACCCCAGTCCAGGACATCTGCACCAGCTATCCGGTAAAGCCCCCGCTCCTCGGGCTTTCCACCAGCTCACTCCTTGATCATCTGGAGACAGCTCCGAAGTCACCTCCTCAGAGTGGCTTCCCTGACCCAGCACTTCCACATTTCATTGTTTCCTTCATTGCACTGAATAGGACAAAAGATTGTTTTTGCACTTGTTGATTTACTACTTCCCCATTTTAATTTATTTTTATTTCACTTTTAGAGATGGGGTCTTGCTTTTTCGACAAGGCAGGAGTGCAGTGGTGCCATCACGCTCACTGCAGCCTCGACCTCCCTGGCTTAAGCGATGCTGTTTACCCATTTTATAATGTGAGAGAAAGGGGAGGCGAGGTGGCTCACGCCTGCAATCCTAACACTTGGGAGGCCGAGGCGGGAGGATCGTTTGAGCCCAGGGGTCTAAGACCGGCCTGGGCAACACAGAGAGATCCTGTCTCTAAAAAGAATGTAATAATTAGCTGGACACGGTGGCGCACGCCAGTAATCCCAGCTACTCAGGAGGCTGAGATGGGAGGATCGCCTGAGCCCAGGAGGTCAAGGCTGTAGCGAGCTATGATTGCATCACTGCGCTCCAGCCTGGGCGACAGTGCAAGACCCTGTCTCAACGCTATAAAAAATAAAGAACAACTGGCCGGGCGCGGTGGCTCACGCCTGTAATCCCAATACTGTGGGAGGCCGAGGCGGGTAGATCACCTGAGGTCAGGAGTTCACGACCAGCCTGGACAACATGGTGAAACCCCGTCTCTACTAAAAATACAAAATATTAGCCAGACGTGGTGGTGGGCGCCTGTAATCCCAGCCACTTGGGAGGCTGAGGCAGGAGAATCGCTTGAGCCCAGGAAGCGGAGGTTGCAGTGAGCCGAGATCGTGCCATTACACTCCAGCCTGGGCAGCAAGAGCGAAACTCCGTCTCAAAAAAAAAAGAAATAAAATAAGAACTGCTGTTTATCGCCTGTCCAGGGCTGATATTGGGACAAGCCTAGAGGGGGGATGAAGGTGCCCATTTTGAACCCGGACCTCTGTTTACGGAGTCGCCTGAAGTGCGCTCTGATTATCCTGGGAGAGCAAGACTGCACCAGCGTCCAAATTGCACTGCACGTTCACTCTGCTCTCAGGCCCCGCCCCCTATTCGAAGGCCTTGCGCAGGCCCCTCCTCCAACCTCGCGAGAGCCGAGAGGCGGAAAATGGCGCTGACGTGAGCGCGAGCTCGCATTGCCCAGAGGGTGGCCGCCGCCTAAGCTGGAGCCGCCGGAGCCGCAGGAACAAGAGGCCGAGCCGTGTCGAAGATGGTGAGCGCGGCACCGGGGTCGCGGGCGCGGCGGAGCGGCGGGGAGTGGCGGGAAGCGGCCCTGTCGCGCATACATCCTCCGGCCGACCCCGCCCCCACATCCGGGCACCCATCCGCCGCTGGCTGTCACTCGGAGAGCGCCCTACTTCCGGGCCGGGCCCGGAATGGGCCACGCCCACCAGGCTAGGACTCCGCTCCAAAACTTATTACATCCGGGTTCCTAGCACCTCCAAGATTGTCCACACGGCTTGCAGCTGGCCAGTGTTTCTCGGTCCTCAGACAATCCGTGTCTAGCTCCTCTAGCATCTTCCCAGTCGCTCCATGCCCATAGCCCCGCCTCCGTAGCCTTGGCCCCGCCCACTCCCTGTAGGCCACGCTGGTGTCGCATACTGGGGCTCCCACTTATCCTAGTTGAGGAGATGCTTCTCCCATGTACATAAGAAGCTCAATCTGGGCCAGTGCAGTGGCTGACGCCTTTAATCCCAGCACTTTGGGACGCTGAGGCAGGAGGATCACTTAAGACCAAGGGTTCAAGACCAGCGAGGGCAACATGGCGAAACCCCCATCTTTATAAAAAGGAAAAAGGAGCTTAGTCCAACCTTACGTATTCCCCTATCCTCTCCTGCTGGTGATTCCTTAGGATGGGGGCCGACTGGGTTGACCCAGAGCCCAGAAGGGTTATCTCTGCCTCTTCCTTCCACCAGGAGGAGAAACCCTCAGGACCCAGCCCAGACATGCCGGCCACTGCAGAGCCCAGCTCCAGTGAGACCGACAAGGAGTTGTTGTCCCCGGCTGTGCCATCTGCCGCCACCTCCTCCTCCATGGCGGAGGAGCTGGGCCCTGAGCAGGCAGCCACACCACCAGTGTGGGAACGTGGAGGGCTTGGAGGGATGCAGCAGGGCTCCTCCCCAGCCCCAGACAGCTGCCAGCCTGGCCCCGGACCCAGCCCTGGCCCGACCAGCATAGTCTCCGGGACCAGCGAGGACCTGCGGCCTCCCAGACGACGCCTACCTCCAGGTGATCTGTGATGGGACCTTCTGGGGAGTCACGGGCCCTGGAACAATAGAAGCAAGAAGTAGAGAATCTCTAACCTAAGGGCCTTTCTAGAGGGATGCCACTCATCATTTTACTGTGCTGCCAGTGGATGCCAGGCTGTGGCTCCAATGGTGAGCCTGGCCAAACCTGCCAATCCACTGTGGCAGATCAGTTTGTTGTGGTAGGCAGAGAGTAGAGGCCCCAGCATCATATTTGCTTCTCTGGGGCAGAGCCCTGGGGTCAGGGACAGCACTAGTGAGGAAGGGATCAGTGACCCCTGTTCTGTGCGTCCTGCAGGGAAGCAAATCCCTTGCTCCAGCCCTGGCTGCTCCCTCAGTTTTCCCAGCGTCCGTGACCTGGCACAGCATCTTCGAACCCACTGTCCGCCCACACAGTCCCTGGAAGGTAGGGCCAGGACCGGTAATGGGGAGGCAGGTTAGGGTGGGAAACAGGTGGAGCCCCTCGGAGCCAGCCTTGACCACCCCTTTCCACTCCTGTGTCTTCATCCTTACCAGGCAAGCTCTTCCGCTGCTCAGCCCTGAGCTGCACCGAGACCTTCCCCAGCATGCAGGAGCTGGTGGCTCACAGCAAACTGCACTACAAGCCCAATCGCTACTTCAAGTGAGACCCTGACCTCTTGAGCTCCGCCCTGCCCTAGCCTTACCCTGTGTGTGGGCTCCAGGCCTTCCTTCCTTCCTGGTCAGGGTGTTGGAGGGCGGGATTTGATGTGGGTGGCCTTTTGGGGAAGCCCCGCCCCTACATCGCTGGATGGGGCGGGGCATAAGTGGGCGTGGCTCCACCCCGCGAGGCGTTACCTCCCAAGTGGAAAACCGGCCTCCTAACTTAAAATTGAGACTTCTTTCCGGGTTTCCCCAGGAAACCACCACCTGTAGTGGTCAGGAAGGGTCGCTGCAACGCTTGTACGGGAGCGGGGAGGCGATTGGTGCCCAGGCTCCGTTCCCACGCTCGAAGGGCGGGTGGCATTGCACAGAACCCTCTCTCTGGTCTCCCTGGAGGCCCAGCCCAGCCCTCTGCCCACCTCCAGGTGTGAGAACTGCCTCCTGCGCTTCCGCACGCACCGCTCGCTCTTCAAGCATCTACATGTTTGCGCGGAGCATGCGCAGAGCCCAGCCCCGCCACCACCCCCAGCCCTGGACCGAGAGCCGCCCGCGCCCGAGCGTCCCCCGGAGGTTGACCTCGCGTCAGCACCGGGCCTGCCGTTCCCGCTGCTGGAACCTTTCACGTTCGTGCCCTACTTGAGCCCTGCGCCCTTTGGCCTAAGCCCCCCGCGCCTGCGCCCCTTCCTGGCCGCTGCACCCGGGCCGCCGGCTTCCAGCGCCGCCGTCTGGAAAAAGAGCCAAGGTGAGTATGGGGGCGGGGGTCACCAGGAGGGTGAGCTGGCCTCGCCCCGACTCTGAACTTGACCCGCCCCTTTACCGCAGGTGCTGGCAGCAGCCCCCGAAGACCCCAGGGCGGCTCCGACGCGCCCTCAGGTGCGTGCAGGTGACCACCAGGGATGGGTGGAGGGGCTTTCCTGCGCCCTGCGGGGTCCGGTGGATACCAGGAGGGAGCAGTGCCTATCCCTTTCCCAGGGGGCCACAAATGCCACCGTCCCGAAATACAGGATTTTTGCCTTAAAAATGACTGGCACCTGCGCCTTCATCTGCGCCGGCGTTCCTGTGTAAACCTTGCGCCCCTTTCACCGTTCACCTCGGAGCGGGCTTCTCCCCGGCGGTGGATCTGGGGATGGTAGTAGGGGACGCGGAAAAGCCAAGTTGGGTGCCCCCAACTCTGGGGGCAGACAGACCCGGGTGAAACTGAACCAGGCGCCCGGAAGCTGATGGGGGGTGGGAAAAGGTCCCACCCACCCTCGCCGGCGTCTTCCATCCTTGGCGCACGGGTCTTCTGGGTTGGGGGAGCCCGGGACTGACCGGGTCCCGCCTGCCCGCAGGGCACGCGGCCCCGAGCCGCATCGTGTGGGAGCACACGCGCGGCCGCTACTCGTGCATGCAGTGCGCCTTCTCCACGGCCTCGCGGTCCGCCATGACCCTGCACCTGGAGGACCACCGCCCCGGCGCCCCCGCGGCCCCCGCGCCCGGGCCACCGCGCCCCGACGCCCCCGCGGGTAAGGCCGAGGAATGCGCGGGTGGAGAGGGGGGCGGGGGCCCAAGGCGCTGAGGCTCAGGCGCCCCCCTCCTCTGCCCCACCCAGATCCGGCCCCGCTTGCACCCAAGGTGTCGCCGCTGCTTTCAGAGGGGGAGCTTCCAGTGTTCTCGCAGCTCTGAACCCTGCCGCTTTCGGGGTGGCCCATGGGATGTGGGTAGTTTTGTCATTTGGAGGGGGCTGCAGGGAAGAGGGGTTGGGGGTGGACAATAAAGAAGGCGCCATGAGCCAGCCTGTGCTGTGTTCCCATCCCTTGCCCCCCCTCCAAAGTGCAGTGGGCTGGATCCCAGCAGTCATGGAGCGATCACATCTTGGGAGGACCACCTGGGTCCACAGGTGCAAGCCTCAGCCCACCTGTGTTCTATCTCCCCATCACCCCAATCCTGGGACCCAGGTCCCCAATACCCACTGTGGCACTGTTCTCCCTTGTCTGGAAACCAAATCGGATAGGACTTTCCAGTTTTCTTTTAAGAAGTCCCGGCTGGGGCCGGTTGCGGTGGCTCACGCCTGTAATCCCAGCACTTTGGGAGGCCTAGGTGGGCGGATCACGAGGTCAGGAGATCGAGACCATCCTGGCTAACATGTTGGGTTTACAGACGTGAAACCCCCTCTCTACTAAAAATACAAAAAATATTAGCCGGGCATGGCGGCATGCGCCTGTAGTCCCAACTGCTGGGGAGGCTGAGGCAAGCAAAATGGTGTGAACACGGGAGGCGGAGCTTCCAGTGAGCCGAGATCGTGCCACTGCAGTCCAGCCTGCGCGACATAGCAAGACTCCCTCCCCCCAAAAAAAAAACAAAAAAACACACCAAAAAATAGCCAGGCATTGCTGGGCACAGTGGCTCATGCCTCATGCTTGTAATCCTAGCACTTTGGGAGGCCAAGGCGGGTGGATGACTTGAGGTCAGGAGTTTGAGACTAACCTGGCCAACATGGCAAAATCCCATCTTTACTAAAAATATGAAAATTAGCCGGGCATGGTGGTGGGCACCTGTAATCCCAGCTACCCGAGAGCCTGAGGCAGGAGAATGGCTTGAACCCAGTGGGACGGAGGTTGCAGTGAGCCGAGATCAAGCCCCTGCACTCCAGCGTGGGTGACAGAGCGAAACTCTGTCTAAAGAAAAAAAAAAAAACCAGCCGTGGTGGCTACCTGGGAGGCTGAGGCAGGAGGATCACTTGAGCACAGCAGTTCAAGGCCGTGGTGAGCCATCATCACACCATTGCAACCCTGACCTGGGAGACAAAAACAATCCCAGGAGCTCCGGGGACGGGCTGGTCCTGTGAAAGTGCAGGGACTGGCCAGGATGGACTGAAGACCCCCAGACACCAAACCCCGCACTGACTCAAGGGGAAGAATTCTTTGGAATTGGGAAGGCCGGCTGGGGGCTCAGGTCTTCATCCTCCTCACTGTCTGCCAGACCGGTTTCCACCGTGTCCCAGCTCTGAGGAGCAGTCAAGGCCAGCCCTCCGTGGCCTGGACTTTCTCTTCACCCCGGAAGCCAGTGTCCCTCCTGGGTATGGAAGTCCCGGGTGATGTCCACAACCACCCCTTGGAGGCTGGTTTTACCTCCATGATTCCTCTCCCTTCTATCCTCATCTCGCCAGCCCCAGGGTCCCCTAGGCCACCCCCTACTCTCCCCAACCTGCCCTTCCCCCAAGACTGAAAATGGTCTCCTCTTCTTCCTTTTTTTTTTGGGGGGGGGGGAGACAGAGTCTTGCTCTGTCACCCAGGCTGGAGTACAGTGGCACGCTCTCGGCTCTCACTGCAACCTCCGCCTTCTGGATTCAAATGATTCTCCTGCCTCAGCCTCCAAGTAACTGGGATTACAGGTGCCTGCCATCAACCCCGCCTAACTTTTTGTGTTTTTAGTAGCGAGGAGGTTTCAACATGTTGGCCAGGCTGGTCTCGAACTCCTGACCTCAGGTGATCCACCCACCTTGGCCTCCCAAAGTGCTGGGATTACAAGTGTGAGCCACCGCACCTGCCAGGGTCTCTTCTGATCATTCCCCTGTCCTGCCCAGCACCCTTCAGGGGCTTCCCACAGCCCTGTCGATGAAGATCCTGTTCTCCCAGTAGCCCAGGGACCTCCTTCACCCCAGTCCACCTGTCTCAATCTTTACCTCCTCCTCTTTCTCCATTCTCTAAATCCACTTCGGGGTTCCCCCTCACCTCCTCATCTTGGCATCTGCAGCCAAGACACCAGTGACCCCTGGACGAGGCCTCCGGACCCCACTCCTCCGTCACTGCCGTCTCACCTTCTCCTTGCCCCCTAACACCTTCTTTGTCATCTTCCTCAGACTTTTTTTTTTTTTTTTTTTTTTTTTTTGAGACTGAGTCTCGCACTGTAGCCCAGGCTGGAGTGCAGTGACGCCATCTCGACTCACTGCAACCTCCACCTCCCAGGTTCACGCCATTCTCCTGCCTCACCCTCCCGAGTAGCTGAGATTACAGGTGCCATCCACCATGCCTGGCTAATTTTTTGTATTTTCAGTAGAGATGGGGTTTCAGCATGTTGGCCAGGCTGGTCTCGAACTCATGACCTCAGCTGATCCACCTGCCTCGGCCTCCCAAAGTGCTGGGATTACAGGCGTGAGTCACCACACCTATCTTCCTTGGACTTTTCATCCACCACCGTGTCCACCTCAGGCTCTTAGTCAAAGCCATCCAGGTAGACAAGCCAAGGGCCACCTGCCCCACACCTGCTCAGTGCCATGTCACCTCAAAGATGGACAGCTCTGGGCTCCGGAAGCCCTTCAGCCACTGCAAGGGGCAGGAGGGGACCCTCAGGCCCTTAGGACCCGTCTGTCTGCCCCACTGCCCACAGCCTCACCAGGGGCCTGAAGACTGCCCTGTCCTTGATGGGGCTGTGATGTGATGGGGCTGCAGCCTCAGCTCATGTGGCTTGGGCTGGGTGTCCACTCTCCCAGCACCCCTAGGCCCCAGCTGAGGTGGCTGTCACTCAGGATGGAGTTGGACAGGCCATCAGGAGGCCCCGGGGCTCCAAGTCCCCCTAAGCTCCCCCTTCTCAGCCAGAAGCCTTGAAACCACCACTGTGGGACCCTGGAAAAGACTCGACCTCCCCGCCTGCCAATTCCCTCGTCCTTAAAAGGGTGTCATGATGATGGGTGAGCCCTTTGGGGTGGATGGGAGGATGAAAAGAGAGGCTGCGGGGAGAGGAGGGACTTGGGAAATGTCTGCTGAGAACTTCACATCCCGAGCCCATGGCTGCCTGGGGAGGAGGGTGGGACAGGTGAAGGGGCCCATTTTACAGATACATAGAGAAGGTGAGGCTAGGAGGCCTCTAGCCAGCGCCAGTTCCAAGTCAGGGTCACTGATTCTGCACCATCTTGGAAGCTGCGCACAGTTACCACGGGATGAGGAAACCCTGGCAGCAGGTCCAGAGGGCATGCCCCTGTTCCCGCACTCTGGAGGTCTCTAGATCTGGCTGTAGTCCAAGCTTGTCCCCCATCTCCAGGGATTGCGCTGTGTTCTCTGTCCCCCAGGCCCCTAACCCCTCTCCAGGGTCCCAGAGGCCAGCAGGAGTCTTCGTCCCCATCAGTTTCCTCATTCGGCCACCCCCAGATCTAGGCCACGCTACTTCCCAGTCTGTCACTATCTTTCCAGAGAGACCCAGAGCCGACACCTCCGTCCAGGGACCTCTCCCTTACCCCGTCACCCACGGAGATGGGACGGCCCTTCCTGTGTGTACAGCGGGCCCACGGCCATCACACTGCCGTCTGGAGTGAACTGACTGCCCCGAGGCCTGGGGAGCTGGGTCACCACCTGGCTTCCGCAGTTCACCCTGTCCACTACAAAAACGACCTCCTACCCTCAAACCAGCTCCCAACCCCCATGCACAGGAACCCAGTCCTCTTGGGCCCCGGCTTCGCCCAGCAGGGGGCGCCCAGGAGTCTCAGACTCGGGGGAATGAAAGCCGGGAGCGCCGTGCGGCTAGCAGGCAGGTTGGCTGGAAGCCGCGAGCTTGTGCTGAACAGCTCCGAGGCCGGCCAGAGGCCCGTGCACCGCCCGGCATTTGTCCAGCCCCAGCTGTCATCTGCAGGTGCCGGTCCGGTTACCCTCACCGCGGGCCAGGAGCAGCGAGGAGGAAAGCGCCCTGCGGCCGTGGGATCCGCCGCCCAGGTGCTCCCCGGGCTCCTCCCCCTGCGCACACTTGTTCCGGTTTCCGACCCCGCAGAGTCCCGGAGCCGCGCCCTAACGAACTCTCACTGCCCCTGGTCCGGGCTTGCTTCTCTGGGATTCCAGAGCCCTATCGGTCCCTATCTGCGGCCGTGCAGCGCGGAACTCTGCCGGGAGCCCCTACGGAGGCGCCAAATACACAAAGGAGAGTTGGTGGGGAGGCGCACCATGACGACCGCGCCGGGACCTGCGCGTCACCCCCACGGCGCCCCTGTGGTGCCTTTGTGCGCGCGCCCTGTCTGGACCCTCCTAGCTGCGAGAGTGCACGGGCAGTGTGACCGACCCAGGCACCTGGGAATCCATCAGCTGTCATCCAATCCCTTAATTACCTTGATTGAGCACCTACTGTGGCCAAGAATTGCTTGATTTATTTATTTATATTTATTTATTATTATTTATTTATTTGAGACGGAGTCCCGCCCTGTCACCCAGGCTGGAGTGCAATGGCACAATCTCAGCTCACTGCAACCTCCGCCTCCCGGGTTCAAGCAATTCTCCCGCCTCACCCTCCCAGGTAGCTGGGATTACAGGTGTGCACAAACACGCCCAGCTAATTTTTGTATTTTTAGTAGAGACAGGGTTTCACCATGTTGGCCAGTCTGCTCTCGAACTCCTGACCTCAGGTGATCCACCCGCCTGGCCTCCCGAAGTTCTGGGATTACAGGCGTGAGCCACCGGGCCCGGCCACTTGTTCTTTCATTCTTTCCTTCACTTACCCACGTTCTGGAGACCCACAGAGGGCCCATACTGTCCTCCCGAGACTCCCGTTTGGGAGGGCAACCCACATCTGGCAACTGTGACCCCGGACCGGATGCAAAGGCACAACAGAGATGGCAGAATCATGATGTCTGTGCTCTTAAAGGAGGTGTGAAAACAAACGGGCAGGCCAGGCGCGGTGACTCACGCCTGTAATCCCAGCACTTTGGGAGGTCCAGGCGGGTAGATCACTTGAGGTCCGGAGTTTGAGACCAGCCTGGTCAATGGTGAAACCCCATCTCTACTAAAAATCCAGAAAATTAGCCAGGCATGTTGGTGGACACCTGTAATCCCAGCCACTTGAACCCGGGAGGCAGCCTGGGTGACAGAGCAGGACTTTGTCTCAAAAACAATTAAAAATTTTTTTTAAAACTTGCTCAGGCCACACCTCAGACTGATTAAGTCAGAGTTTCTTGGAGGTTCTGTTTTCTGGGGGTTTTTTTAGATGGAGTTTCGCTCTGTCACCTAGACTGGAGTGCAGTGGCGCCATCTCGGCTCACTGCAACCTCCGCCTCCCAGGTTCAAGCAATTCTCCTGCCTCAGCCTCCCGAGTAGCCAGGATTATAGGCATGTGCTACCATGCTGAGCTAATTTTTGTATTTTTAGTAGAGACAGGGTTTCTCTATGTTGTCCAGACTGGTCTTAAACTCCCGACCTCAGGTGATCCACCTGCCTCAACCTCCCAAAGTGCTCATAGTACAGGCATGAGCTACCTCGCTCACCTTTTTTTTTTTTTTTTTTACTGTGGCTCTTGATTGATTGATTGATTGAGATTGGGTCTTGCTCTGTCATCCAGGCTGGAGTGCAGCGGTGTGATCATAGCTCACTGCAGCCTCTGCTTCCTGGGCTCAAACAATCCTCCCACCCCAGCCTCCCAAGCAGCTGAGACCACAGGCGCGTACCATCACACCTGGCTAATATTTTCTTTTTTTTTTTTTGAGACAGAGTCTGGCTCTGTCGCCCAGGCTGGAGTGCAGTAGCGCGATCTCTGCTCACTGTAAGCTCCGCCTCCTGGGATCACGCCATTCTCCTGACTCAGCCTCCCAAGTAGCTGGGACTACAGGCATCTGCCACCACGCCCAGCTAATTTTTTGTATTTTTAGTAGAGATGGGGTTTCACCATGTTAGCCAGGATAGTCTTGATCTCCTAAGTTCATGATCCACCCACTTCGGCCTCCCAAAGTGCTGGGATTACAGGCGTGAGCCACCGCGCCCAGCCACACCTGACTAATGTTTTATGTTTTTTGTATAGATGGAGTCTTGCTATGTTGCCCTAGCTGGTCTTGAACTCCTGGGCTGAAGGGATCCTCCTGCCTCAGCCTCCCAAAGTGTTAGGATTACAGGCATGAGCCACCATGCCCGGCCCAGGTGCAAGGCCTTTGACACCACTCACCCGCCAATCCCCAAATCTGCTGTACCAGCAGAGCTTTCTGCACAGGGTGGCAGCCCTGGGAGGAACAAAATGAGGAAGGCGGATGAGCCAACCGGGGCAGACAGCAGAGGCCTCACCCAGTCACATGGGCCCCCACGTCCTGGGCCTCTGGGCCTCCCCAGGAGCCTCCTAAACCCCAGAGCTGTCCGTACCCCTGACCTGCTGAGATCTCCCCATCCTGTGGCTCTCCAGCTCAGGAGGTCACCAGGGCCTGGCATGGAGTCCTCCCTGGAGTCCAGAGATAGGGACACCAAAATGGTGGGAATGACGGGGACTACAGAGAGTAAGAAACTAGTTGGTCAGGTGTGGTGGATCATATCCGTAATCCCCACTTTGGGAGGCCAAGGCGGGCGGATCACCTGAGGTTGGGAGTTCAAGACCAGCCTGACCAACATGGTGAAACCTCGTCTCTACTAAAAATACAAAAAATTAGCCAGGCATGGTGGCACATGCCTGTAATTCTAGCTACTCAAGAGACTGAGGCAGGAGAATTGCTTGAACCTGTGAGGCGGAGGTTGCAGTGAGCCAAGATTACACCACTGCACTCCAGCCTGAGCAACAGAGTGAGACTGTGTCTCAAATTAAAAAAAAAAAAAAGAAACTAGTGACCACGTTAGGAACATGCAGGCAACCAATGCCCCAAGCTTGGGACAGTAGCAGGCAGGCCAGGAATTCAAGGGAAATAGAAGTGCCTGGAAGGGGCCAGGCGCAGTGGCTCACACCTGTAATCCCAGCACTTTGGGAGGCTGAGGCGGACTGATCCCTTGAGGTCAGGAGTTTGAGACCAGCCTGCCCAACACGGTGAAACCTCTTCTCTACTAAAGATACAAAACATAGCCAGGAGTGGTGGTGCCTGCCTATAATCGCAGCTACTGAGGAGGTTGATACAAGAGAATTGCCTGAACCCCAGAGGCAGAGGTTGCAGTGAGCCGAGATGGCACCATGGCACTCCAGCCTGGGCGACAGAGCGAGACTCAGTCTCAAAAAAAAAGAAGTGGCTGGCAGGATCTGGAGACAGATTGGAGCCTCCCCACCTCCTTCCCTTCCTCCTCTGCCCTCCCCCGCCCCACCTCCAGCAGCCCCCACCCTGTGTGCTGGCCGTGGAGCAGAAGCCACAGTCACTTCCTGAAGACAGCGGCCCCAGCTCGGGTCCCCCTCATCCAGTGGCCCATCACCTGCCTGCAGCCATGGTGAGTACGGGGAGAGGCCTGTGCCTCGCTGGCCGGGAAGCAAGGGACACAGGTGTTGCCTGGAGGATAGGATCCACCTGTGGAGGGGCAGGGGGGCTGTGAAAGACATCTGGGAAACGGGAAGGGTCGGCAAAAAGGACCCGAGGTAGGAGGCCGCCAGGCACACCCCAGGACAGCGCGGGCTCCTGGGGGCTCAGGCTCAGATTGGGACTGCGAGGGGGACAGATGGGACTACCCGGGGGGACGTCTCCTGTCTCCCTAGGTCAACATGAGCAGCAATGTGGGAACCGACAGCTGGGGTGAGAGCAGTGCTTTCCTGTGGGGTGACAAAGTGGGTCATGGCCCTCCCCCGACCAGTCACCCAAGTTGTGACCTGCTAACCCTGACTTATCTAGCCTTGTGGTCACCCGGGAGCACTTCCTTCAAACCACTGGGGGCTTCAGCAGGGGCACTTCAGGCCCCAGGTGGGAATCGCTGCCTTTTCAAGGAGCACTCCTGGTCTCTGGTCCTCTGGATGGGGAAAGTGAGGTACACACAGGAGGTCAAGGCCACACGCTTCTGCCCTTGCCCTCCCCCAGTCTCCTCGACCACAGGTGAAGGGGGCGTTTGTAGGGCCAAGGAGGCCTGGCCTGCTTGTAAATCGGCCTACATCTGTGGGCAGTAGTTGCAGGGCCAGCTAGGAGGGCAGCCGGGACAGCTGGGTGTGCAGGAGACAGCGCATGTGCCAACGGTGTCCGCACCGGTCCTCTCAGGCACGGTCAACTGTGAGCATTCCTGACCCTCAGCCCGCATGTCGGAGACGGTGTGAGACGGACCACATAGCCGTCTCCAGGCGTCTCTGTGTTTTCCTGATGGTCAGTCTGAGTACATGGCTGTCTTTGTGCCGTCTAAATATTGTTTCGTTCAGCAAATATTTACTGAGCACCTACTATGTTCCAGGCCCTGGGAAGACAGCAATGAATGAATGAGCCAAGTCTCTGCCTTGCAGAAGCTGAGGAACTGGGGGAAGTTGCGGTATAGAGAGACCAAAAAAAAAAAAAAATCCAAGACACATTAAAAGCAATGTAAAATAGTATGATACATGGGGTGGGTACAATGGGGAAAATCATGTATGCTGACTGCAGGGCAGTAGTGGGATGGGGTGATCCATTTAAAATAGGGTGGTCTAGGCCGGGTGTGATGGCTCATGCCTTGCAATCCCAGCACTTTGGGAGGCCGAGGTGGGTGGATCACTTGAGGTCAGGAGTTTGAGACCAGCCTGGCCAACACGGTAAAACCTCGTCTCCATTAAAAATACAAAAAAAATTAGCCGGGCGTCGTGGCAGACACCTGTGATCCCAGCTACTCAGGACACTGAGACACGAGAATCACTTGAACCCAGGAGGCGGAGGTTGCAGTGAGTTGAGATTTCGCCACTGCACTCCAACCTGGGGACAGAGTGAGACTCCGTCTCAAAAAAAAAAAAAAAGAAAAGAAAAAAGAAAGAAAAATAGGGTGATCTAGGCCGGGCACAGTGGCTCACACCTGTAATCCCAGTACTTTGGGAGGCCGAGGCGGGCGGTCACCTGAGGTCAGGAGTTTGAGACAAGCCCGGCCAACATGGTGAAACCCTGTCTTTAGTAAAAATACAAAAATTAGCCAGGCGTGGTGGCGGGTGCCTGTAATCCCGGCTACTCAGAGGGTTGAGGCATGAGAATCATTTGAACCTGGGAGGTGGAGATTGCAGTGAGCCGAGATCGCGGATTGCACTCCAGTCTGGGTGACAGAGCAAGACTCCATCTCAAAAAAGTAAAAATAAATAAAATAGGGTGGCCTCAGACGGCCTCTCTAATAAGGAAATATGAGAACAGAGACTGGGAGGAGGAAGAGGAGAGAACCAGGTGGTGCAGGGACATGTCCTGGGTCAGGGACAGGGCAGAGGCCCCGAGGTCAGAGGGAAGTGTTCAGGGTGCAGGGAGGAGGAGGTGGCTAGGTGGGGAGGCTGGTTCGCCCAGGCCTTTATGAGGCATTTAGCTTGAACTACAGGGACATCAGGAAGCACTGCTGGGTTTTGAGCAGAGAGACACAAACAGACTCAGGGCTCAACAGGCTTCTCCCTCCCGCTGCCATGGGGGGAACTGACCAGGGAGGCGGGTAGGCAGTGACTCAGGGAAGGGCTTGTTAGAATAATCCAGGCAGTTGGTTGGGGGAGGGCAGACGCTGCCTCCCACTACCTCCTGGGGTGACAACGGTGAAGGCAGTGAGAAGTGGTTGGATTCCGGATGTGTTTTGAAATTAGCACAGAAGGGACTCCAGGCCTGGGCGTGGCGGCTCAAGTTTGTAATCCCAGCTACTCGGGAGGCTGGGGGATCATTGGAGCCCAGGAGTTGGAGGCTGCAGTGAGCTATGATTACACCACTGCACTCCAGTCTGGGCAGTGGAATGAGACTGGAGACATGCAGTGTGGGGGTGAAAGAACGAGGGGGTCAAGGATGCTGGGGGGTTGGGGTACCACCCATGCGGGGAGGGCTGTGGGACTGGAGGCTGCAGGGGGGATGTCAGGAGTTCCACTCCTGCTAGAGGAGGTTGGGTGTGGAATCAGCACTAAATGGAGAAGTAGGGAGGGGTGTGGGTTCCAGGATCCTAGGATCAATGGGGGCTCCTCAGAAAGAGAGCCGAGGGCTGATGGGGCCTGGGTGCAGGGGTGGTGGTTGTGGGCTGTGCCTGAGGGTCCCCAGTCCCTTCCTTCCATGCCCCTTCTGTGTGTTTGAGCCCCTGCCTCATTGGCTGTACGTCTCCTAGGAGAGCCATCAGGACTTCCGGAGCATCAAAGCAAAATTCCAGGCCTCTCAGCCGGAGCCCAGCGACCTGCCCAAAAAACCCCCGAAGCCTGAGTTCAGTAAACTCAAGAAGTTCCCCCAGCCTGAGCTAAGCGAGCACCTCAAGAAACCCCCGCCGCCTGAGTTCACTGACCTCCCCAAGAAACCCCCGCCGCCTGAGTTCACTGACCTCCCCAAGAAACCCCCGCCGCCTGAGTTCACTGATCTTCCCAAGAAACCCCCGCCGCCTGAGTTCACTGACCTTCCCAAGAAACCCCCGCTGCCTGAGTTCACTGACCTTCCCAAGAAACCCCCGCCGCCTGAGTTCACTGACCTTCCCAAGAAGCCATCCAAACTGGAGTTCAGTGACGCCTCCAAGAAGTTCCCCCAGCTGGAGGCCACTCCATTTCCAAGGAAGCCCCCGCAGCCTGAGGTCGGTGAGGCCCCTGTGAAGGCCTCGCTGCCAGAGCCCAACACGCCTGTCTGGAAACCCCTGCAGTCCGACGAGCTCAGTCACCCCACCAGACCCCCATCTGAACCCAAATCCAGTGCATTCCCCAGGAAGCTCTGGCAGCCCGAGGCCAGTGAGGCTACCCCAAAGCCCCCGCAGCCTGAGTTCAGTACCTTTCCCAGGAAGCCCGCGCAGCCTGAGGTCAACATGCACCCCAAAAAGCCCCCGCAGCCTCCGGTCGGTAGCCTCCCTAGGAAGTCCCTGCCGCAGCCTGAGTCCAGTGACGTCCCTCAGACACCGCCCTGGAAGCCTGAGTCCACTGAGTCCCTCCCCCACTCCCCGAAGCCCAACTTCAGTAGCATTCCCAAGAAGCCGGTGCAGCCCGAGTTCAGTGCGCACCCCAGAAAGCCTCCGCAGCCTCAGGCGGATGGCCTCCCTAAGAAGTCCGTGCCGCAGCCTGAGTTCAGCGAGGCGGCTCAGACTCCTCTCTGGAAGCCTCAGTCCGGTGAGCCGAAGCACGACTCCAGCGCCTTTCCCAAAAAGGCCTCCCAGCCTCCGCTGAGTGACTTTCCCAAGAAGCCTCCGAAGCCTGAGCTTGGGGACCTCACAAGGACCTCCTCAGAGCCCGAAGTCAGCGTGCTTCCCAAGAGGCCGCGGCCCGCCGAGTTCAAAGCGCTCTCCAAGAAGCCCCCGCAGCCCGAGCTGGGCGGCCTCCCCAGGACCTCCTCAGAGCCCGAGTTCAACTCCCTCCCCAGGAAGTTGCTGCAGCCGGACCGCCGGGGGCCACCCCGCAAGTTCTCACAGCCTGAACCCAACGCTGTCCTCAAGAGACACCCGCAGCCTGAGTTCTTCGGTGATCTCCCTCGAAAGCCCCTACTCCCCAGCTCCGCTTCCGAGAGCTCACTGCCTGCGGCCGTGGCCGGCTCCAGCTCCCGGCACCCGCTCAGCCCTGGGTTTGGAGTTGCTGGGACACCCCGCTGGAGGTCAGGAGGCCTTGTTCACAGTGGAGGGGCCAGGCCAGGCCTCAGACCCAGCCATCCACCCCGGCGGAGGCCTCTGCCCGCTGCCAGCAGCCTGGGACCCCCTCCAGCCAAGCCCCCGCTGCCCCCGGGCCCCGTGGATATGCAGAGCTTTCGGAGACGCTCTGCAGCATCCACAGGTGGGTGAGGGCGGGCGGCTTCGGCAGGAGGCGGGGCTGAGGTCCCAGGCAGTACCGGCCTCCCTGCCGCACTCTCTACCCCACAGATCTACGGAGGACGCGCTCGGCCGCTGCGCTCCACTTCCAGGCCCGACAGCCTGAAGACATCCCACAGTGAGTGTGGGGAGGAAGCTGGGGTGGGTGCGGATTGTGGGGCTCAAAGGGGCCTCATCTCTGCCGGGAGCAGTGACTCACACCTGTAATCACAGCATTTTGGGAGGCCGAGGCAGGCCAGTCATCTAAGATCAGAGGTAGAGACCAGCCTGGGCTACATGGTGAAACCCCGTCTCTACTAAAAATACAAAATTAGCTGGGCATGGTGGCACATGCCTGTAATCCCAGCTGCTCAGGAGGCTGAGGCAGGAGAATCGCTTGAACCTGGGAGGCAGAGGTTGCAGTGTGCCAAGATCATGCCATTGCACTCCAGCCTGGACAACAAGAGCAAAACCTCCGTTTCAAAAAAAAAAAAAAAAAAATTAGCTAGGCGTGGTGGGGGGCACCTGTAATCCCACCTACTCAGGAGGCTGAGGCAGGAGAATCGCTTGAACCCGGGAGGCGGAGGCTGTAGTGAGCCAAGATCACACCCCTGCACTCCAGCCTGGGTGACAGAGCAAAACTCCATCTCAAAAAAAAAAAAAAAAAAGAGGCCTCATCTCAGGTATCCCCGCAGGATCCCAGATGAGATCTACGAGCTGTATGACGACGTGGAACCCAGAGATGACTCCAGCCCCAGCCCCAAGGGCAGAGGTTTGTTCGTGGCCTGCCCGAGTCCCTGCAAAACATTCGGGGCAAGGGCATTTTCTGCCATGCTCCTGGTGTAAGAGCAAGTAACATTTTAGGACCTGCTGGCTTCTGCTGGGTGGAACTACGTAAGGGGAGCCCAGAGGCCAAGGGCCACTGAGAAGGCTGTTGTAGGCAAAGGTGTGGCCCAGGCTGGCAGCAGGAGGCGTGGGAGCAGTGGGCGAATCCAGTATTCAAAAGCAAGCATCAGGCCGGGTGCGGTAGCTGATGCTTGTAATCCCAGCACTTTGGGATCCGGAGGTAGGAGGATCATTGGAGCCAATCCCAGGGCTTTGGGAGGCCAAGGCAGGAGGATTCCATAAGCCCAAGATTCCAGACCAGCCTGGGCCACAGAGCGAGACCTCATCTCTACAAAAAAATTTAAACATCAGCCAGGCGTGGTGACAAGCATCTGTAGTCCCAGCTATTTGAGATGCTGACACAAGAGGATTGCTTAGGTCCAGGAGGTTAAGATTGCAGTGAGGCGGTGACTGCACCACTGTACTCCAGCCTGGGCAGCAGACACCCTGTCTCAAAAAAAAAAAAAAAAAGCAAGACTTGGTGATATATAAAGCAGGGAAGTTTCAAGCCTAGCATCCAAGGTCATGACAGAGCCGCTCCTGGGTTGATGACAAGATGTTAGGTTCCATTCATCCATCCATCCATCCATTTATTTATTTATTTGAGACGGAGTCTTGCTCTGTCACCCAGGCTGGAGTGCAGTGGTGCGATCTCAGCTCACTGCAACCTCCGCCTCCCAGGTTCATGCCATTCTCCTGCGTCAGCTTCCCAAGTAGCTGGGACTACAGGTGCCCGCCACCACGCCAGGCTAATTTTTTGTATTTTTAGTAGAGACTGGGTTTCACCGTGGTCTCGATCTCCTAACCTCGTGATCTGTCCACCTTGGCCCCCCAAAGTGCTGGGATTACAGGCATGAGCCACGGCGCCCGGCCCTTATTTATTTATTTAATTAATTGATTTATGTATTTGTTTTTTTGTTTGAGATGGAGGCTCTGTCGCCCAGACTGGACCGCAGTGCTGCGATCTTGGCTGACTGCAACCTCCACCTTCCATGTTCAAGAGATTCTCCTGTCCCACCCTCTGGAGTAGCTGGGATTACAGGCACGCGCCACCAAGCCCAGCTAATTTTTGTATTTTTAGTAGTGATGGGGTTTCACCATGTTGGCCAGGCCGGTCTCGAGCTCCTGACCTCAAACGATCCTTCCACCTTAACCTCCCAAAGTGCTGGGATTACAGTCATGAGCCACCGCGCCTGGCCTTATTTTCTTATTTTTTTATTTTTTGGAGACATAATCTTGCCCAGACTGGAGTGCAGTGGTGCCATCTTGGCTCACTGCAACCTCTGCCTCTTGGATTCAAGCGATTCTCCTGCCTCAGCCTCTCAAGTAGCTGGGATTACAGGCGCCCACCACCATGCCTAGTAAATTTTTGTATTTTTAGTAGAGCCGGGGTTTCACCACATTGGCCAGGCTGGCCTTGAACTCCTGACAAAGTGCTGGGATTACAGGCATGAGCCACCACATCCAGCCTGATTCATTTAGACCTGTTGTGTTCAAGGTAGCTGAGGGGATGTCCAGGAAGAACTTGGGCCTGAAACTCAGGAGGGACACGTGGCCTGAGGCAGGTGTGGCAGTGGCAGGGGAGGGAGGCTGCTGAGAGTTTCTTAGAAGTCTGTGGGCCGGGCGCGGTGGCTCAGGCCTGTAATCCCAGCACTTTGGGAGGCCGAGACGGGCGGATCACGAGGTCAGGAGATCGAGACCATCCTGGCAAACACGGTGAAACCCCGTCTCTACTAAAAATACAAAAAACTAGCCGGGCGAGGTGGCAGGCGCCTGTAGTCCCAGCTACTCCGGAGGCTGAGGCAGGAGAATGGCGTAAACCCGGGAGGCGGAGCTTGCAGTGAGCTGAGATCCGGCCACTGCACTCCAGCCTGGGCGACAGAGCGAGACTCCGTCTCAAAAAAAAAAAAAAAAAAAAAAAAAAAGAAGTCTGTGCTGGGTGAGTAGGCAGCAGGTCCGTACCTCCTGCCCAGCTCCAAAGTTAATGCCTTCGTGAAAACCCAAGCAGCTTCCAGGCAAGCACCTTGCCTGCATGTCCCTAAATCTGTATCCTCCACTCCCAAACCCCCACAAGGCAGCAAGGCAATGCATCCCCATTTCACAGATGCACAAGGTTGGCTGGGCGTGGCGGCTCACACCTATAATCCCAGCACTTTGGGAGGCTGAGGCAGGCAGATCACTTGAGGTCAGGAGTTCCAGACCCGCCTGGCCAACATGGCAAAAACCTGTCTCTACTAAAAATACAAAATTTAGCCGGGGCCAGTCATGGTGGCTCATGGCTGTAATCCCAGCACTTTGGGAGGCCAAGGCGGGTGGACCACCTGAGGTCAGGAGTTCAAGACCAGCCTGGACAACATGGAGAAACTCCATCTCTACTAAAAATACAAATATTAGCTGGGCGTGGTGGTGCGCACCTGTAGTCCCAGCTACTTGGGAGGGTGAGGCAGGAGAATCGCATGAACCTGGGAAGGAAGGGTTGCAGTAAGCCAAGATCACGCCACTGGACTCCAGCCTGGGCAACAGAGTGAGACTCCATCTCAAAAAAAAAAAAAAAAAATTAGTTGGGCACGGTGGCACACACCTGTAATCCCAGCTACTCGGGAGGCTGAGGTTGGAGAATTCCTTGAACCCGGGAGACGGAGGTTGCAGTGAGCCAACATGGCACCACTGCACTCAAGCCTGGGTGACAGAGTGAGACTCTGTGGCTGTCTCAATTGAAAAAAAAAGAGGTTGGGCGCAGTGGCTCAAGCCTGTAATCCCAGCACTTTGGGAGGCCGAGATGGGCGGATCATCAGGTCAGGAGATCGAGACCATCCTGGCTAACCCAGTGAAACCCCGTCTCTACTAAAAAATACAAAAAAAAAAAAAACTAGCCGGGCGAGGTGGCAGGCGCCTGTAGTCCCAGCTACTCGGGAGGCTGAGGCAGGAGAATGGTGTAAACTCGGGAGGCGGAGCTTGCAGTGAGCTGAGATCCGGCCACTGCACTCCAGCCTGGGCGACAGAGCGAGACTCCGTCTCAAAAAAACAAAAAAAAAATAAAGAAAAAATAATAGATACGCAAGGTTGAGGCTCTGGGAAGGGGCTTGCCCTGGCTTGCACAGCTGGTCCATGAGCTAGATCTGTGGCAGGGCTTTCAGCAGGAGCCTGAGCCTGAGCCTCTAAGGTGCTCCTGCTCTCCCTGCAGCCTCAGAGGGTCTGGGGCAGAGAGGCTCCCTCTGCTTCTCCTGGGCTTTCTCCCGGAGCTGTTTGCAACACCTTCCTGTGAGCACACAGCTTCCTGATGGGGCCCCTCCTGCTTCCGTTCCAGGGTAGGCTCTGTGGCTTGGGTCTGGGGGCCACCTTTGGGGATGCAGATGGTCAGGAGGGGGTCTACTGAGAGCCTGGGCTAGTGACAGCCTGCCTCCGGCCACTCCCAGCAGCCCTGCTGGAATGCCCCACCTCTTCTGAGGCTAGGAGCGTCACCCTCTCCCCAAATTTCATACAATCCCCACCCTTGGCCCATTGTTCCTGTCACCAGACGACCTTCTCCCCTTTCCTTGCCAGTCATTCGAGATTCTGATATGAAAAAAGAAAAAAGGGGCTGGGCACAGTGGCTCACGCCTATAATCCCAGCACTTTGGGAGGCGGAGGCGGGTGGATCAGTTGAGGTTGTGAGTTCGAGACCAGCCTGGCCAACATGGTGAAACCCCATCTCTACTAAAAATACAAAATTTAGCTGGGTGTGGTGTTGCATGCCTGTAGTCCCAGCTACTGGAGAGGCTGAGATGGGAGGATCGCTTGAACCCAGGAGACGGAGGGATTATAGGCATGAGCCACCGTGCCTAGCCAAATCACCCATTTTCTTTTTTTTGTTTTTCTTTTTGAGGCGGAGTTTGGTTCTTTTTGCCCAGGCTGGAGTGCAGTGGTGCAATCTCGGCTCACTGCAATCTCCGCCTCCTGGATTCAAGCGATTCTCCTGCCTCAGCCTCCTGAGTAGCTGGGACTACAGGCATGCACCACCACGCCCGGCTAATTTTGTATTTTTAGTAGAGACAGGGTTTCTCCATGTTGGTCAGGCTTGTCTGGAACTCCCGACCTCAGGTGATCCTCCCACCCTGGCTTCCTAAAATGCTGGGATTACAGGCATGAGCCACCCTGCCTGGCCTCGCATCACCCGTTTTCTAAGATGCAGTGAGCCGAGATTGCACCTCTACACTCCAGCCTGGGCAACAACAGAACGAGACCCTGTCTCAAGAAAAAGAAAAAAAGGTCCCACTTCCCTGGATCTCCCGCTTCTCAGGAGTGGCGTGGGCTTCTCCCTGTGGGTGCAGCTTCTCAAAGGCAACTTAGATCTCTTGGGGCCAGGACTCTGGACTCTCCTCTCCCACTGTCTGCCTTACTTGGAGCAGTGGCAGCTCCACTGCAGAGGTGGGGGCTCCTCTGCAGGTGGGGAGAGCCTGGCCTTTCCCAGGATCTGAGCAGGCCATGCGGGGAACGTGGGCAGAGGCCTGCTCAGGGTCAGCTGTGGATGAACCAGGGCTGCCTGCATGGTGGTGCCAAGAGGTGCTCTGATGTGGCGGGTTTGCAGAAACCCTGGAGTGCCAAGATCAGGTTCGCTCCTGGTGGAGTGACTGCCTATGGCCAGGGAAGCCTCTGAGAGGCAGGAGCAGCTGGAGGAGCTGTGTGTTCCGGGTGAGACTGTGGATGGCCACGGCTGGTATCTGGCGGGCACAACCCAGGTGCTGCTCCTTGGGCTGCTTGGAGGGACTACAGGCCTGCAGTGTCCGGAGGGATGCTTTGAGCCATTTGGAAAGGACACACTGGGACTCTGGGTTCTAGATCTTTCACTCACCAGGGTTCCTGGGGCTCCCGCCTGAAGCCAATCCCTTGGCCAGCAGGGCTCTGACTTGGGAGCCTGGTCATTTGCCAGGAAGTGGCACAGGGAGGCTGGCACCATGGGAGACCCCTCAGTCCATCAGTCACTAGTCCAGGACGCTCACCCCAGCAGCATTTTTTAAAAATTATTTTTATTTATTATTTTGAGACAGGGTCCTGGTCTGTCGCCCAGGCTGGAGTGCAGCGGCACCATCTTGGCTCACTGCAACCTCCACCTCCTGGGTTCCAGCGATTCTCCTGCCTCAGCCTCCTGAGTAGCTGGGATTATAGGTGCCCACCACCATGCCCGTCTAATTTTTGTATTTTTAGTAGAGATGGGGTTTCACCATGTTGGCCAGGCTGCTGTTGAACTCCTGACCTCAAGTGATCCGCCCGCTTTGGCATCCCAAAGTGCTGGGATTACAGGCGTGAGCCACCACACCCGGCCACAATACTTGACTGTCAACTATCATTGCCCTCCTGTGCAATGGAACACCCGATTTCTTTCTCCTAAGTGTAACTTTGTACCCATGGGCCAGCCTCTCCTCATCCTCCCTTCTCCTTAGTTTTTCACCCAAATCTCATTACAGTAGGACCCTAGAACCCACTGGACGCAGTGGCTCAGGCCGTAATCCCAGCACTTTGGGAGGCCGAGGCAGGGGCATCACCTGAGGTCAGGAGTTAGAGACCAGCCTGGCCAACACAACGAAACCTGATCTCTGCTAAAAATACAAAAATCAGCTGGGCGTGGCAGTGGGTGCTTGTAATCCCAGCTACTCAGGATGCTGAGACAGGAGAATCGCTGGAACCCAGGAGGTGGAGGTTGCAGTGAGCTGAGATCACACCATTGCACACTCTAGCCTGGGCAACGAGAGCAAAACTCTTGTCTCAAAACATAAAAAAGAACCCTAGACCCAATTTGACCTAGGAGGCAGAAGTGAAATGGCCTCGAAGCCTACATATAAATCCTGCCTCTGCCATTTACAAGCTGGGTGACCTTGGGCAGTTTGCTTGACCTCTCTGAGCCTTCATTTCCTCACAGACAAGTTGGGCATGACAGTGGCGTCTACTGGCATGAACAAGGTTGCTGAGAGGACTGACATGAGGCGCATGGCCAGCAGTTCCCGCCATGCTGAGCACATAGCAGGAGTTAAGGGAATGGAAGGCAATCCAGAAAAGCCCATGACCCCTGAGAAAGGCTTGCGGAAGGTGGGCAGGGAGTGGTTTCGGGGGGACCTGGTGGGATCTGGGGAGTCCTCGGAACTGACACAGGGAGGCCTCACTCAAGATCCAGCCACTGGCCAGGTGCAGTGGCTCACACCTGTAATCCCAGCACTTTTAGGAGGCCAAGACCGGCAGATCGCTTGAGGTCAGGAGTTCAAGACCAGCCTGGCCAACATAGTGAAACCTGTCTGTATTAAACATACAAAAATCAGCCAGCTGTGGTGATGGGCACCTGTAATCCCCGCTACTCAGAAGGCTGAGGTGGGAGAATCGCTTGAACCCAGGAGGCGGAGGTTGCAGTGGGCCGAGAGCGTGCGCTTGCACTCCAGCCTGGGTGACAGAGCGAGACTTCATCTCAAACAAAAACACAAAAACAAAAAACAGCTACCAGGGTAAAGGCTGAGCTGGCGGGCCCTGCCTTGACTCGGAGTCCTGACTGTCCCCAGATGAAGTACCCTCGGTTCAGCAAGTCACCAGGAGGCCACCACAAGACTCAGCACTCAGGTACCATGGGTAGAGGGGGCGGGCAGACGGAGGGGCAAGCTCCAGGAACCCCCAGAGGAGCACACCTTGCTCACGGGCACACAATTCCTTGGTGGCGGGTATCAGGAAGGAGAAGGATCCCCCGCCACAGCAGTTGCCACCCATGGACCCAAAGTTGCAGAAGCAGCTGAGGAAGGCAGAGAAGGCGGAGAGGGAGTTCCGGAAGAAGTTCAAGGTGAGGCCTCCGAGTTAAGCCGGAGTTCTAGCAGGGCGGAGACCAGGGCCCCACAGATCCCAGGCTCAGAAAGAAGACAGGGGCCCGAGGGCGGCAGCACGAGCAGAGGCCATAACATCTCGCGCCCCAGTTTGAAGGGGAGATCGTGGTTCACACGAAGATGATGATTGACCCCAATGCCAAGACGCGCCGTGGGGGCGGCAAGCACCTCGGGATCCGGCGCGGGGAGATCCTGGAGGTGATCGAGTTCACCAGCAATGAGGAGATGCTGTGCCGGGACCCCAAGGGCAAATGTGAGTGCTCCTGGCCCCGCAGCCCCAGGAGGCCCCACCACCACCCTGGGCCTCAGAACCCACCATGCCCACTCTCTCCACAGATGGCTACGTGCCCAGAATAGCGCTCCTGCCCCTGTAAGTACCAGCCCTGACTGTGGGGGGAGGGGTGGGGTGCGGGAAACGAGCCACAGTGCCCCTTGCTGACCCAGCTGTGCTCTGCCAGGGAGACGGAGGTGTACGATGATGTCGACTTCTGCGGTACGTGGACACTCTGGGTGGGCTGGAGGGACCCTGGCGATTCCCCTGGGGAGCTGCTCACTATTGGGCATCTAGGGAGAGGGGTCCATGGAAGTCACGCTTCCTCGGCAGACCCCCTGGAAAACCAGCCACTTCCCCTGGGACGGTAAGGCCGGTAGGCATGGGGCAAGGACAGCCGGCCAGTCCAGCGCCCGCTCACCCAGGAGCCCTGGAACCCAGCGCGGGAGTTACAGAGCTGCCCGGGCTTGTGCCTGGCCACATAAAGTCCATTTAAAGCAGTCCCTGCTTCTTGTCTTTTCTTTCCCACCTGATTGGCAGAGTGGAGCAAAGGCACGGGAACTCCCTGACCAAACACAAAAGGGGGTGTGTCTGGGGTCACCCTGCCACAGTCTCACACCTCAGGGATAAAAGCAAGGGAGAAAAGGGTGGCAAGAAGCTGGTGAGCAAGGGGGGTTCCTGGTGATCAGAACCCCATGTGCTGCCAGCCGGGGCAGCCAGGCAGGACGTGTCCCTACACAGGCAACAGAGGAGCAGCAGGCAGGCCTCCTTGCCGGGTACGCACACCTGCTTGGCCTGAGCGGATCCTGAGGGCGCTTCACGGGGGTAAAGGGTGGGGCCTATGCCCAATTCTGACAGAGCCCAGATATCAGATTTGGCCTGAGCCTCTGGTAGGACTGAACATGGGTGGAAGGTGGCACACAGTTTGGTCTGTTTCAGCAGGAGAAAAAAAGGCCAGAGAACAAGCCCGACTGAGGCAGGGTCTGTGCCCCAGGGCGTTAACCTCACAACAGGGAGACAGGATGGCTTTTGGGAGGCTTTTTTTCATTTTTGAGACAGAGTCTCACTCTTGCCCAGGCTGGAGTGCAGTGGCAAGATCTCGCTCACTGCAACCTCTGCCTCCTGGGTTCAAGCGATTCTCCTGCCTCAGCCTCCTGAGTAGCTGGGATTACAGGTGCCCGCCTCCCAGATTACAGGCACGAACCACTGCGCCTGGCCTCGGGAGGCTCTAAACAGCCAAATGCTCCATTATCAGCTCAGGGATTACAGCCCACAGGAAGGCAGTTTCCAGGGAAGAGTCTCCCCCAGTCTGTGGGCAGGCACTCACCCCTGGGGCCTCAGACAAGGAGGAGAGGGGATGAGATCCTTGTTCCTTGGACTGGAAGCTCGAGTGACCCCAGCTCCCCACACCCCGGGTGGTTGCCCACACAGCACACACAAGCAGGCTGTTTTCAGGAACTGGTATTTATTATCAAAGTCATATTCGATGTCAACAAGATGCCACAACTACAAAAAAAATTGCGCACATTGCAATCTCAATGCAAACAGTCAAATGGAACCCCAGTCATTAAAAAAGTAATTCAAATTACCCCAAAAAGCAACTGAATTTTTTAAACATCTTTATACATCCAGCCAACAAATTAAAATGGTTAACAAGAAAAAATACAAATTCAGAGGTCTCGTATCGATGTTTAAAAAAGGCAACTGCTTAAGCGTTTCTATCAATTCGAACGTCAATCTCTCGGCCACTCAGCTTCATGCCATTCATCATCCGGCAGGCTCTCTCGGCCACCTCTGGCGACTCGAACTTAACCACACCACACCCCTTGGACTTCCCGTTCTCCATCTTGATGTCAGCGTACAGCACGTGGCCTGGGACAGGGAGGGAAGAGACCACACTTGTCAGGCAAACCCAGAGCTCAGCCTGTCTGGGCTCCATTCAGTCCCGATTTTGTTAGATTTTGGTGGACAGAGTAAAAAATCCGCCTCAACGGCTTGCCCCCAAGAACCAGAGAGGCCCTGATATCTGGAGCACAAAGGCTCAGAATACAATGGTGGGAACCAGTGACTAGGCCCTTGGCCACACTGCCACTCTTCTGCTAACAGAGCCTGCTCCTGCCCCATGAAAAGCCTTCCTGGAGGATTCAATGCACGCCTTGACGCTTCACAAAGTTCAAAGAAGAGGGCGCCGAGTAAAGCCAGCTTTCTAGGCAGAACGTTGGCTATATATTTTACAAAGTGTTCATTTCTGATACACCACCGCCCCTGGTTACAAAGCCATCCACAATCCAATGGACACGTCTGTACTGTCCAAATGAAAGCCAGCAGGTTTCACTTATTCATTTGAGCACCTGTTAAGCATCCAGATATGTGTCAACTCTGCGGAAACAGGTCAGAGCCCTAGAGGACAAAGGCTCTACTCCAGGAGTGCCAAAGGTGCTAGGGCCACAATGCCAGAGGCAGGAACTCTGCCTGAGAGGGCCCAGGGCAGGTAGGGTGGAGGGGTCCTCAGGGGAAAGTTCTGAGTGAATTTACACAGAAATTCACCAGAAAGACTTGCCAGTAATGGCTCACACAAGAGCACTGCGGGACACGTGCAGCACTTGCCGCTCAGGTTCTGGGACAGGAGGGAGATGGAGGAGGATGGGACCAAATCTTCAAGAGGCCTGTGAGTCTGGACTTCCTCTTGAAGGTACAGGGCCCCTCCAGGCATTGCAAAAGTGGGGGTTGGGGGTGCTGTGATCCCACTGGCCTTTTCAGAATATCTAGCTACAACGTGGAAACTCAGGAGTGGGGAAAGAGGTGAAGAACGGGGCAAAGAGGCAGGTCGTGACTCAACGGCTTGCCCCAAGAACCATGGAGAAGCAGCAATGGTGGTGAAATCAGAGCCACTGCTGAAACAGGAAGCGGGAGGGCAGTGCGGAAGCAGCCGCCCAGTCCTCTAGCTCGGGCCCCTCTAGCTAAAAAGAACAGAGGTGGTGCATGAGGGGTGCAGGCTCACCCTGGAGGGCAGGGAAGGAAGACATCCTGCTTTCAGCCACAGAGGAAGCCCTCCAGAAGAGCAGCAGGATGTGCCAGGAAGCCAGGAGACCTTAGCCTCATCCTCACAGGAGCTGCGGTGTGCCCAGAGCCTGTAGCACCTCCCCATGGCACCTGCTGGGCTAGGGAGGCCCAGAACCAGCTGTGCTAAGGGGAAAGCGACCTCGTCTGGGATGTTTTTATTTAGCGTTGCCACCTAGAAGCCAGGTGACCTGAGAAGAAAGACTGACTCATCTGTGAAATGGGGACACTACTACCTTGTTTCAAAAGGCTCAAAAAGGAAGAAAAAAGGAAATTAGGATGAAATGAGAACACAGGTGAAAAACGTGTGACACATCACAGGACACTCAACAACCTGCCTGAGCACTGGCGTGGGCAGAACAATGGCAAGGCCATGGGTCCTGAGCCGATGGAGGGGGCTGGGAGGGAGGCTTTGCTGCTGACTTGGCTGACTTGGCTGCATCACCAGTAAGCATGAGGCAGGCAACTAGAAAGCCGTTCCCAACACTTACCACACTCGTTGAATTTGTCCTTCAGCATCTTCCATGTGAAATCGAATGGGAGCTGAGGCGGAAGGAAAAAGGGGAGACTGATGTGTGATTAAACCAAATCCTAAGGCACGCCTTGCAGCTGGCTCTGAGGGCTACGCTAGATTTCTTACTATACCAAGAAGCTGGCTGCTCTTCAGACTGAGGCGATCAGCAGGGAACTAATAGGTCCACGTAGGACAAGGCTGTGAAGTGGCACAGCCAGCTCCCTCCCTGGGGCTCAGACTGTGGGAGCACTGTGCAGGATGGGACGCTTGGGCCTGTGGTGCGCAGCCCACAGTCACTAAATAGTGGCTAAGAATGGCTGGGCTGGGGAAAATAATTCCGTTACAGCCACTTCTTTCCCTGGATCATTGTGCAAGACACAGTGCCTCTTCAAGCCAAGCAATCAGAAACTGCAGTCTCTGAGCTCAGAGTCTACTCCGTATTCTAGCGCAGTGGAGAAGCCCAGGCTCTTCCAGAACCCACAGTTCTCACATTCCTTACTTGTCCCACTAGCATAAAACGTTTGGGACAGGAGCAAGGAGATGTGGTCCTCTTTGGAGGACGCCACCTGTGACTTCATCCTGCTGATCTTTGTCTCCCCTGTCACCTCATGCTCACCACCACTAAGAAGTTCCCCAAGAACCACTTACATTTCTCACAAATATCTGGCAGGCCTTCCTGGCCACCCCAGGAGCATGGCCTCCAGCTCCACCAAAGGAGCCTGCGAAGCTTCCTCCAAAGTTGCCACGCTCCATCTCGATGGCACGGTCAAAGCTGGCACCGCCACCGCCACCCATGGCCAGGCCCATGCGCTCAATGCCAGCGCCCAGGGCCGGGCCCATGGCGGGGCCCATGCGCTCAAGGCTGTTGGCACCCATGCGCTCCAGGCCCATGCGCTCGAGGCTGTTGGCGCCCATGCGCTCCAGGCCCATCCGCTCCAGGTTGTTGGCGCCCATGCGCTCCAGGCCGGTGGCCATGCGATCCATCACGGGGCCCATGCGCTCCAGGCCAGCCCCCATACCTGCGGGCACCATGCGCTCCATGCTCAGGCCCATGCGCTCAATGGCAGGGCCCATGCGCTCCACGCCAGAGCCCATGCGCTCAATGGTCTGGCCCACACGGTCGATGGGAGCGGCCATGCGCTCAAGGCCGAAGCCCATGCCGGCACCCATGCGCTCCACGCCTGAGCCGATGCGCTCCATCGTCTGGCCCATGCGCTCGATGCTGGAGGCCATGTGGTCAAGGCCCAGCGGGCCCATGCGCTCAATGCCGGAGCCCATGCGCTCCACGGAGCCCATGCGGTCCATGACCAGGCCCATGCGCTCAATCTCGGAGCCCACGCGATCCATGCCGTGGCCCAGGCCTGCGCCCATGCGCTCCATGCCGGCACCCCCGAGGCGGTCAATGCCAGGACCCATCCTCTCGATCCCAGGGACACTTCCTCCACCTCCACCTGAAACAGGGACACAAAACACAGGTAGGTGTCAAGAACCTGAGTATGTGTGTGCACAACACGCCAGACCACTTCAGCTCATGGGCATGGATCGGGGTAAAGGCCTACCATAATTTACCGTTAAGACACCCCGTCAAATGTTAACAACAGCTACAGCTGGGTGATGGACTCATGAGGGCCTCCCAGCATTCTCTCTGCTCTATGCCACAGCTGAGATTTCCATAACACAACTTCTAAAGAACACCCCTGTATGTGTGTCTGTGAGGTGCTAGTGTCTGTGACAAGCTTTGTGAACCATGGATGTCAATTCCTGAGACCTCTGAGGTTTCTCCATCAGCAGACACTGAGAAATGTTCCAGGGGGAGGCAAGGACACCCCCAACTCAGAGGGCCACCTAGGTTAATGAACAGGAGTTACATGGAGACAAGTCCAAGTTACTCCCACCTTCCCCTCCCAGCCTGTCCCTCTCGGACGC